CCTTCCTTCGAAATGGGAATCAGGACATTAAGTGCACTCCTCTAGAATAGATTTTAGCGTCATGTCCCTATTTCCGCCTACATAAAATAAAGTCTTTTCACATAGAAGAGAATTGCTACATTAAGATATTATGCAGTAGAAGGAGAAATAATAGAAGGGAAGGCAAAAAAATAGAGTTCAATATCCTGTTGTTTAAACAAGTTTGCTGTTATGCGCACACATATAAGCGCGTGTATGTTACCACATGCTTATAAAATAAGCATGTTTTTAAACCCCTTGCTTGCACGCCGAGTAAGCCGAGAATATACTTTTTAATGAAACGGATACTACAAATATGTGAGTGTATTTGTTTCTGTTAGCTAACGTATTGACAGATGTAGATGTATGTTTACATAAATACGGATGTCACTCAATAGAGCTTAGAATGGTAAATAAGGAAAATGTGTGTAAAATACCAAAAACAATAACAACAACAATAACACTAACAATATAATGATAAAGAACTTACAGAGTGCAGATTTTCTTACACACAAAAGTCAGGTTATAGCTGCTGATAATATTCACCAGGATTGTACAAGTATGTACGTATAGATGTATGTGTAAATTATTACGATGTGATAATATATATGTAAACCCATTCTCCTATTCACACACTCAAATATACATCATCCACAAACAAGCACAAACATCGACACCCCTGCAGAAAAGGATACAAAACGCTGCAGCCAGCAAAAGGAGAGAATATTACTTTCATACCTAAAACGGCTATTTAAGATTGTGTTGCCAATCACAAGACGAACAGTTGAAGCGCGACATTTGAAACGGAAACGTTGTGGACATATAAGAGTGATTACACATACCATAAACCATAGTTCATTTATGTATTAGTTTAACTTTACAATGTATCCAATACTTTGGACTGTCGATTAGAAGATAGTTAAGCAAACGTCATCTATGGAGGAAATTGTAAGTTTCATCTTCAATGTTCTTTCCTTTCTTTCGAACGTGAAAACTGAGAAAAGTGGGAAGTAATTCTTAAATAAAACATTTGAAAGAAAGTAATCAAGACGCCAGGTTTCGAAATATTACCCAAACAATGCATAACTTCGCCAAAGCGAGAAGACTTTAAACGAAAACAAGTAAGAAAATTAAAGTCCACCGTAACCGAATCTTTTACACCCATCACCGTTTACCCCAAAAAAAGGTAAAAGAACAAAATTCTCATGCTCTACAATAGGGAACGGGCGCAGATGATTTCTTCTATTTTCTAAATAAAAGCTTTTGTCGTAGCGACATGTGGGCGTTGTAGGCGTGTCCTTTGAAAGCTTTAGGTTAATTCCAAATTCTTATGCAAATTTTTTGGCGATATCTTCATTTTCGTTAACGGGAGAATGTTTACCACAAAACCTACAAAATTGCGCAAACAGGGAGATGGACGGACGGATATGTTTTATTCAAGATTTGCGATTTTGCTTTTGAAGCATGTTGGTGCGCGTTACAAACGTATTGAAAAAACAATTAATATTGTGTAGGCGTGGCCCGTTTTTTCAAGTTTTGTAAGTGGACTACAGCGTCGCCCATAGAATAAGCACTCAAGTTTGTGTACACTTTTTGGCTGTAGCTTGTGAGTAATGAGCAAAAATCTAATTTTTCCTTTCCTATGAAAAGTGCAGGTATACTCAGTATACGTGGTGTTGTGCGCGTGTCCTTCGACCGATGTGACCCATTTCCGACACCAACCTGCGTGCAAAAACTTCCACTATTTCTGTCAAATTTGAAGTCGATAGCTTCATTCTGCGTCCAGGAGAATCTTTACAACAGGCATTATACAAACGAAGAGACGCACAGATGCAGGGGCGGACATGCTTAAATCGTTTTGGGATTTGATGCTGATCAAGAATATATATACTTTGAGGGGTCTCTAATGCTTCCTTGTGGGAGTTGCAAACGTTTCGACAAAATCAATATACCACTCATCCTACGGTGATAGGTATCAAAAATAAAAGCTACACAGCAATTAAGCTAACCTAAGAGGATCATGTGAGATAACATTCAGTAGACATAAATATGACTCTTTCGTAGGTAATTTGCTAGTGTGTTCTTCTTTGAGCAGTTTGTAAATTGATTCCTTTGCTCTTATGTCCGCCATAGAAAGATGGACGATACGCAAATTTTGCTGTTTATAGTAGTCAGCAGAAAACGACATCAAAATGCATATACTACCAATCATGAGATCCATTGTTGATATTGACCCTCTGTAAGACCATAGGTCGACGTTGCGAAACTTAAAACCACAATAATAAAACTTTAAAATTGTAGAGGTGTATTTTGAGTAATACCACAGAGACCTCATTAGCCATAGAGTATTTTTTTTGTGATTCTCGTGACTAAACTCATTTCATAACAAAACTGATATTGGAAAGTTTTATTGTGACTATTGCTCCGGAGTATCAAATTTGATTCAAAATTACGAAAGCTATGAGAAAAAAATGTGTTGCATTCTCTTAAGTTTACAAGCCGATCACAACGACGAAAACTGCACCTCTTCATTAATAATGTATGGGACATAACACAACATTTAAATATGAAGCCTTAACGTCCGATAAACGCGGTTTGTCATTCCCTTTGCAACTCCCATATATACGTATTTGAGCGTCCATGGCTTGATCACCTGGAGATTTTGAAGATCAAATTAGACATATTATGTCCATCTCTCTCTGCGTTTATTCGTAGGAATTTCTAGTTTGCGGAAACCGAAACAGCCAACCGAAATCTGGAGTGTATATTTTAATTTCTTTTGGACTCAAACGGGATAACTAAGGAACGAAACGACTTTGAAAACGTCAAAAAATAGCTTACAATAGGGTAAAAGTGCAGTTTTTTTTTCATTTATCTGAAATGAAGTATAAATGAATGTATATTGTTTTGATCCGTACTTTTGTGATTAAAAACGCATTTATTTCCGAAAAAAACGAATGAATAAGGTTTAATCAGAGTACTGTCCATGGCTGGCTATTACTCTTTCCCACCTCTCAGACAATTTTCAAACTTCATCTCGAAAAAATGGCTTATCTGCTCCGCTTGGACAAACAAATAGCCATCCATTGAGATCTGCTTTAATCGGCAGGAATGACGTCTGCTGATAAGAGCAAGGGAAATAGGGCGTTCTTGGTTAAAATTTGCAGACATTTCCTAAGCGGCTTTTCGTATGTTGTCGAATCTCTTCATAGTGAAAACTCACGATATCACTTTATGTCACAATTGGATCAGTTATTATTGGTAGTACTTCTTAGAGTAATAATGCTCCCCTTCCGCGGGGACGAAACACAATCACAATCATAAACGAGCTAATTCATACTCTCAATAAATTTAAACGGCATTTTAGTAACTTTCCAAAAGGCAGGGGACATTTTATACTATCTTCAAGACTGTCTTTCTTTCGTAAAATCGGTTTGTTTTTGTTCATCACAAATTGAATTGAACTTAAAAGCTTTGAAAAGAATTATAAATTTATCGTTTATCGGCTAACCTATCATTTATAATTTCGTTGAGTTTTAATTATTTTAATTGAATTTCGTGTTCCCTCAACACATAAAACCAAATTTCTGTTTTCTATTTATTAATGCAGTTTCTTAACTGTTTAAAGATAATTGAAAAGTTTGGCAGCCGAGAAACCTACATATAAATGTACTATTTGCATGCTTGTGTAGACCATTCTAAGATAGAAGTTCAAAAGTTTTAAAATTTTTTTCGAAATTATTTTCATAAAAGAAATTTTTTTTCATTAAATTAAAATCGTCATAGCAAAAGCATTGTTCAGAAGAAAAACTTTTTAAGTTTAAAGGTTATTTATGCGTGTTGTAATCATATTTACTTTATGTAAAGCATCCTGAAAAGTATATTTTTTAATTTAAGTAAAACTTTTTTATTCAGCAGCCCGATGGTGCGCCTATGTCAGATTATGTATGTATTTTCCATATATAACAAAAATGGAAACAAACACAAGTTCTACTGCTCTTAAGGGCATAAAATATGCTACTATAAGAATATTATCATTTGTATAAGAAAAAGAAGATTTATTGGATTATTGTTTTGTGCACTAAAATCTTTTCGAAAATGCATTCTTTTTCAGTTTAAAAACATGGTTCTTTCACACATTCTAATATTCAACTACAGAGAGACCTTTTGTTAAGTTTGCTATTTGATTTCTATCATGAAGGCCACTTTGGTCCTCATATAAAGCACAGGAGAATATTGCACATAAAGTTAAAATTCCTTTTATTTCCGCCTATTCATTCCTAGCCTTAGAAAATATAATGAGTTTCTTCGAAATGAATGGAAAAAGTTACGACAGAAATGAATCCTTTGAAAACATTCCCATCACAACTCAACTTCGCCAAGGTATCCTGTATCAATTACTTACAAATTACTGCAGTTTAAATCTGAGTCGGTTTTAAACCAATTTTTTGCAGGCTCTTATTAACATTTTTATAGTCCTTTCGGATTCCATGACATAAGTTTACTATGCTGCGACTTCACCTTTACCACTTTCCCTTTCCCCATTTCCTTCTTCCCGCACCACGTTATATGTACGACATCCACACACAAAAAGCTATGTATATACTAATGTCTTTATTATGTTTATGATTAGTGCTGAGATCTGGCAGATGACACTAAGAAAGCAACTGTTCGTCGATTAGGAACGGTCATTATAGGTACTTTCGCAAACGTGGAGTAAAGCTCCTAGTGTCCTATTATTAGATTCGCAATAGAAGAACCTACATAGCAGAACATATAGTAGAACATATATCCTGCTTTCAGTGGAAAATAAGGTTTTGGTTTGTTTAGCGTCTTGTATTATCGCTTAAGAAGACAGAAATTGTAATATCCATAGAGGGCTACATTAGCAATATATCTTTATTATATTCTTAGCTGACTTTCTTTAAGGTTTATATGCAAAGATTTATAAACAAAGTCTTTTATAACTCTTATGATTTCAGATAACTTAGTAAATACATTGAAGGAAATCTTCCAAAGACAATTTTCTTAAATAATACAGTAAAAATCCCAGTCTATATAAAATAAAAGAGGAACAGAGAAAATTGTTAAATCAATTGTATAATATTTGCCATCAACACTTTAAGCGAACAAAATGCACTTAAAAATTCTAGAAAAACGAAAAAACAGCACCACATCAGTCAAAATGAAGAAGACAAGAAACAAATTAAATCTTATAGCTTCTGCTATAGCAACAAGAATCATAGATCACAATTGGGCACAACAGCAATCGACGCAAACGAAATGCAAAAATCTTTCATCATCAACCCTAGTATCAGGAATCTTAATAGAGAGCATAACAGAATACTATCGTTCTCGAAGCACTTAAAGTTTATATTAATTAACTTTTCAACTTTTAATCACTCTACTACTATAATAATAATAATAATTATAAAAAATTTTAAAAGATTCACTTCTAATAAGAAGGGCTTAATCAGATTAGAAAGGCTTAAAACGAAAGTAAAAAACAAAGTCAAAAGCCGTCAGAAGTGCATAAGCATTCAAAGTGGCGAAGATACAAGTCCACAATCAACATTGCTTGATAGAAATATAGTTAAATTCACAGAATTATTGAAGCTACAAGCACAAGGAATTTGCATTATAAGACTGATAACATTAAAAAGATTACAACAACAAATTCCTGAACATAAGCATCACCAAAAACAACATCACTTTGCGTCAACAGCATCCACACAAGAATTTAATGAAAGTCTGCCATTGCAACAGTACCAACCATGGCAACGATGGTGGCGTCGTCGTAATCATCTTGAGAGTAACGATAGAATATTGCCAAACAACCAGAGACAACAGAAAATAAATTACTGCAAGATAAGCATAACAAATTCCTTTAAACAGCGACAGCAATGCAAACATAGCCTTACTCATTATCCAGCAATAGGTAATCAGAAGCCGACAATTCTTGCGAAATGGCAGATGCTGAAGTGGCATAATTTCCTTTGTAGATGGCATTGGCAGCTATATGTACTTCCGTCACGACGGTCAAGACAAAATTTCGCATACAACAGTGAAAACCATACATTGCGCTTGGTTAATGCTCGCAACTATAAAAGCGGTCACAGCAAATCATCTTTATATCCGTTAAAAGCAACACTTGAAAAAACCCGCACCTCTCCCACAAATCTCACAACCGTTGTAGTCGTTCAAACCGTATCCGTGGAACAGACAGAATTTAAGTCTCAGTCTAGAAAACAGTTTCAGTCGCACTCGTTTAATACTCAACCAGAGAAAAGTAAATATCATAATATTAACAACGATACGTTACAGGATAAGGAGGACCGCCACCAAGCATTATCACTGTTGTCGTCATCGTCGCCGTCGTCATTGTCGTCACCCGCGACAACAGCAGTCTCATTATTATCCTTGGCATATTATTGTTGTAGCGCTCTCTGGCAGCGGCTACGACATTCATTGCCTTCGCTATCATCATTGCCACGCACTTTCATACTGTTGATGTTGCTGTCGTCGCTGTGGCATGGCATCGAATGTTTTCATGGCACCGTAAAATTAAGCACAAATACGGTAAAAACCAAATATGGTTTGGTGCGTGGTATCGTCGTACGTTCGTCTCCATTAGTTGAGGCTTACCTTGGAGTGCCCTATGCATCACCGCCCGTCGGAAGTTTAAGGTAATTATTTTCTCCCCCTTTTCCTTCTTTGTGTTTGCTTCATTTTTTTTTCTTTTTTGGTTTTTTTATTTCATTTTTATCTTTTGACATCATTTCCCTTGCGTAAATGTGTGACGTCTTTCCATCCGCCACCAAAAGATAACAGCATAACTGTTGTTTTACTCAGTTTGTAACATCGGGAAGTGCGTATCGTACAGCTCGCACAGGATGGACAAAAGGCTAAAACTTTTCATATGCACTCTTACTTGCACATCAAATTGTAAAAATTGAATTATTGTTGAAATATTATAAAGATATTAAAAAAGAAAAAAAATTCATTTCAATAAAAAAGCACATTGATGACAAGTTGCTATGACAACCATTTAAATAAGTAAATTCCTTTCCATAGGAGGAGAACTTTATCTGTTTTATTATCAATCAGTTTCATAAGATACAAAAAAAATTTATTTTTATCAATTTTTTTCACTTATGTCCGAAACATTTGGCTTTCACCTTTGCTTATTTTTCTGGCTACACTAATTAGCTTATACGGGCCAGCCAATAAGACAATCTTGCTAAGAAAGGGGAATTATACAAAGACTGGAGCATTGGATAAGACGAGGTCTGTCATACCCCTGCAATTGGTATAACCACAACCACCACGAGTACTTCTCGATTGGCCGGACGGAGTAGTCAGGCCGCAGAAATCGTTCCCACCAAAGTAACTTGCAAGGCCTATAATTACAAACCACATATGGTATTAGAGTGACGACCCGTAGATCGCCTTATTCTGTATCGACACTACGTGTGTCATAGTTACGACTATATTCATGCTTTTGGATTATTCTAACTTCGCCATCCAGCCAATATCCCCTTGGATTTTTAATGTACAAAGAGAAGATATCAACTCAGCATACAGAAGGCAACTGTTCACACTACCAATTTCCCCGACGCCCTCAACAACTCGCAAATCTGTTCGTTGAGTCTTTATCCTCTCTGGTAGCTGAATTCTAAGTAGAAAAGTCTGCAAGCAGACGATTTCTTACACTCTCGATGACTTGTCCAAGGTGAGCTCCCCATCGCCGGGATCTCGGTTAAGCAATACGCGTCTAATATTCATCGACCGTATCATTTATAATCCTTTTTTATGGTTTTACGGTTCTGTATTTGATCTATATGAGAAAGTATTCGAAATTCGTCTTTAAGCTGACTAAGGTTTTGTGTTTCTTTACATGTTTCGCTTTCCGTTTGAATTTTCATTGCAAAAGTGAAATGCGTACCTACATTTGTATGTATATGCTTCAATGTGTATTGAATATTTTTATTATTCATACAATCTTCTACTCAAGATCTTATTCCGTTCTTTTTTTCTTCTTTATCTCAAGCACATATAAATATTTTCTTATTATTCGTGCCATTGTGCGAGATTCTATTGCATCCTTTTTAGCTTATTTCGTCAGCATACTGACAATGAATAGCAAATGATATCATTGTCGTTTGGGCCTAGAATAAAATGACATTTTAATGTTATTTGAAGTGAAAAAGAAAAAAAGAACAGCGAACGAGGTCGTTCCATGAAAACGAGAAAATATCCCAATGTCAAGTTATTATTGTTGTGCTGATACAGAGGAGCGTTTCGATTTTAAATTCATTTTGTAAATATTTCTATCCTTCAAGTTTAACTTTTGAAAAAAAAAAGCACAAACTCAGCAAAAGTATATATTAAAGCAATCAAAAGATTAGCAAGAAGATTTGCTTTAAAATACGTGTGAAATGGTAGAAACGCCAATGAAATGAGAAAGATTTAGTTATAATTCATGTTTTTTTTCAAAAAATTTAAACTTTTTTTTCAAATGGAACGATGAGAAAAGCTATTTTTAAAATTCTTAAAAACATGCCACTCAATCTCCTTAGGCTGTTTGTGTAGTTTAGTCACTTGGCAACAAAAGTACTTTCATATAATAATAAAATTTCACTCTTTTAAAGGAAATCGTTGCAGCCGATTAAGGAAAGGAACGATTTGCTCTGCTCACATTTTATTTGTGAAACTTGTTGTATATCTGAATACAGGGACTGGCTCAGGACTTTCAAGTAATTTGTTAGGAAATTAATTTCCTGCTTTCACTCGTGTCTATTGATTTATTTAATCATTTATAACCACCGTATTAGATCTACGCAAAGAAATTGTAATTCTACTGCACTCTTCCTCGTATTCAAATCTTTTTCAGTCTTAAATGGAAGCCTTGTTTAATTTCCCAATATACTTTGAGATTTGATGGTAATGAACTTTTTTGACTTTCCTAGGTGTAAGACTGTATACCAAGCTTAATATTAACTCTCACACTGCCTACATTATCCATAAAGTTAACATGACTCGTCTTCTTTGTCCATTGATGAATAGAAATTCAAATTTAAACGTAGACTGCAAAAAAAATTAATTATCGAAACTACTTTTCATTCCCTCATATTTTATGTGGTTCGGGCTTCATCTTGCACTGTTTATTGCAATATTAAAAAACTATAAATTACCCAAAACAAACCCTTGAAAAGGATCTACAATCTCTCCTGGCATTTTTCTACACTTAATCTACTATACACTCAATACCAGTTTCGAACTTGTTTTATAACAAAATGTTCAGATAAAGTATCAATTTTAGTTGAACGGGACGGACTTGGGATAGATCAACTTTTTATTATACGGGTTTAAGCTTGTGCGTCCACCTGATATTTTTATATTCAATCTACAGAACGCAGTTGATAGATGGATATAATGAAGTATATCGGCGTATATTGGGCCGAGGACGAAAGCTATTGAAAGTAATCCGACTCAGACCACTTTCTCAACCATTTCCTGGTGAGCCGTGGCCCACTACAATGTTTTTACTAGTTTTATTACTACAATTTCTATTTACAATGAAAGCAATTGTTTACAAAATATTCAAATATCTGGAAACCTTTTGTAGGCGTTTCCCGTTTTCGGGGAAATCCCTATACCAGGTTATATTAAATTTGTGCGGTATTTACAACATCCAAAAGCACTTGAAGTAGATCCGCTTTTCATTATACCGATCTAAGCTAAGCTAGTCTGTGCGTCTACGCTTCTAATATCTATCCATGTGTTTTTGCCGGCATTCTAACAGCCGGTAATTATAGTGATGTATTGACAAAATCTAGTACACCGAGTAGTTTTAGTCCAAAGAGGAAGGCTATGGGAAGTAATTCTCTAATGGGACCACCTTCCCGCCACTTCTTGTATTACGACTTACTTTAAAAAGTCGTTAACCGTATTAAGCAAAGTAATGTAAGATATTGATTGATAGACGATGGCCAAGTATAATGTCTTTATACCTTTTTTATAATTAATAGATTGGTAATGACGCTGATATTTAACTAGTTTCATACGTGCTTTAAAACCATGAGAAAGCTCTTGTGAAAAGACCACTATCGAAATCCAAGTCCCACATCAGCAACTTTAACGCGATACCAGCAATATACGTGCCTTGCCATTACCCCCAAAGCGAGCAATAAGAGAATTTTTAGGAAAAGTTCGAATTCGCTTAAACAATTATCGTATTCGAATAAGTTTTGGAGATGTAAGGAATCATAGGGATATTAAGATCGTACGTGAAAAAACACCTTTCTTAAGTGCGGCTTGAACTCAACACTAAAAGCGAGATTATGACATTAGCTTTAATTTCAACAACGGCTGGCTGGGCTTAACACCCACACCTCACAGCATTGAATTTCCTTTCAAAATTCAATGCTGTCTTTCTGATATATCTTTAAATGAATCCGAAAAATGTGGTCGACTTTATATAAATGTATCGCCTTAAGTCACAGCTTAGAAAAAAAATCGCAGTAAAAATAACCTAAATACCATAAATCTAAACGATAAGCACAGCGTAGCAGTAATAGTTACAACAATAGTTACTTCAAATCCTTCAAAAACCACCACAATAACATTAACAGCAACTGATATAAGTCTACTAACTAACTGCTACAGTAACAGTAATAGCACCAAAATCGACAACAACAGCAATACAATTGAGCTCACATCAACATTCACAACTGTCACTGCGCCTGTCTAGCCTTGCAACAAGTTTTTCCAAACCAAAAATTTCGCATCAGCCAAAACTCAGCTAACGTCTAATTTGTAGAGATCAATATTGCGTGAAACATTCTGTCGGGATAGTATCTTCTTTTTCGTTTCACGTAAAACTAATTTGTCCATCTGACATTGCTTAAGGGGTTTATTAGTAAATTCTATAAGTTACATGTTAACGCTGAAGGGATACTACCAGCCACGGTGGTTATTGAAAGGCCCTAGGAGAATGTAGGATCCCTGTTCGTTAGTTTAGGGTTTCCTCAGTCCCATTTTCGATAAGGAGCAAGTCTTAGGGGTGTCCATGAGAAAAAATATAGAACCCCTTGCCACATCTCACGAATCAGCCAGACCAGCTATGGATTAGCATGACTTATAGGTCACAATTCCTCTTATAGTGGCGCTGCAAGGTTGCCCTAAAATAACAGCTTCAGATACAAGAGGACATAGATAGACCTACTACCACATTGGTTAAATAAAATTGGTGTAATGGTGTGATTACATAAAATTAAAAGTGGCTCAACAATGATTACACATAAAAGTAAGGTAGTAGGTAAAACATAAACGCAATATTTGAAAAGCTGACCAAGCTTCATGTAAACATTGCGGAAATTTTCCATGAGAAGTTTAAAGTTTTTTAGGGTGACTTTTGACCCAGGATGGATGGGGATATGCCAAACGGATTCACCGCAGTGACGGTAGATCGTAACAGCTTCATGGAATCTGGTCAAAAATACTTTCTGCTATTCGCCTTATATATTTTTGGGTCCAGATCGCAGTTTACCACCCTACAAATATGGATTTTTGCTTATTGATTTGCGTTCTCTTGAGAAGCGTAAGATAAATTAGTTTTATTGCTCAGCATCTCCTCAGATATTATCCTACGATTAGTCTTAATTTATAAAGACAACTAGTCAGCCCTATGTATGACATTTGCAAAAATTTAAAAGGGACGCGTTGTTTAATCTTCTTGGCTAGCTCGTTGTCCAAAATTTAACCCTTTGCGTCTATCTTTCTTTTCGCTTATCATTTTTGTCTTATGCTTTTCTTGTTATTTTCTTTCCCCTTTTCTTTTTGTCCTGCTTTTAATTTCTGGAAATATTTGCTTTACAAAGTTTCTCAACCCTTTATTTTATTTGTTTATTTAATAACATTAGAGAAAAATTGAAAAATGTATACAAAGTTCATTAACGCGCGGTCTGCATATTCCAACGAACAGCGTTTCCTTGCACCTCCAACCGATATACTTCAGAGACCATTTCAGAAATATACTTTAATGTGTTCAAAATATGAATGGAAATTTTATTTTAAAAATAAGCGCGCTTAGAATACTAATGAAATATGTAATGTAATGTAAGGGATCAATTCTATTGAAAATTGTTCGGATGGGTCCGCTTTTCGACTACTTCCCATAAAACGCCCTTTTCTGAAAAGAATATAAAAATTGTAATTTTCAAAATTTCTCGCCAAAAACAGCTAAATAGTAGTACTTCGGCATTCCAAATTGGCATTAAAACTTTGGACCGGCTGGGCCAACTGAAGTTCATACGACAAAAAGGTATAATCTTCAACCCTCCACGTAGAAAGTTATATCACAATAGTAATTTAACATAAAAAAACTAACTGTACAAAATTTTGATCATCTCGTACTATTTTTTGGATCCTAAACTAATAAGGATTTTCACGAAAACTGATCCTTTGTAGAGCAGAAAAATCTGAGTTTTAAGATGTGGTGATGGAAATTGAGCCATAGTATTATAGTAATATTATACAAAAATAAACTATACAAAATTTGGACCATCTATGCCTTATGTAAGGTTTAAACTTGTACTACATTAGGTTGCGTTTTGGGCCTGCTTCCCCATAAATACGCACACCAAGTATATAAAAACGAGATATAATTTTTGTCTTCTATAATGAAAATAAGGATTGTGTTAGAGAATATGGTATAAGGTATTTAACGGTCAACCTTGCCCATCTATAATGTTCTTACTTGTTTTTGTTATAGTTTTTAGATTATTGGCACAAATGTGGTATTCTGAAGCAGCCATCGCAATAAAATTCTTTGATATCAATTTTGTTATAAAAGAAGTTTGTTAAGTTACAAATACCACAAACAAACAAAAAGTTTTTAACACGTGAAAAGGGTCATTATGATGTTGCTCAGAACACAGCCGTTAATATAAATGCAATAAATTTTTACATTTTGGAAATTCGCCCACCGCAATTGCCATTAACTACAAAAGACTTTTGCATATAATCTAAGCAATTGAAAGAGACAGAACTTAACAATACTTATAAAGAAAAAGTAGAAGAGGTAAAGAAAAGTGCTTAAAATATTTGAAGGCAATATTCTTTGCCATTGTCATAAGATGCCGAGTTTCAGATTTACCTCTTCATCTGTTATTGCGAAGCTCCTGTTGAAGGTTTAAAAAGACATAAAGACAAAATTAAAAAAGTCTCGTTTTCGATATACAGCAGACTCAGCGAAAGAGACATGTAACATAGGAATTATTGAGAATATATACGCTTATTCTCGTATGTGACCAAGTTATTATACAAATACTTGAACAATTATCCAACAAATGTAAACAAATTGGACTCTTATTCTCACATTTTTCGAATTATTGAGAATATATACGCTTATTCTCGTATGTGGCCATGCAAGTTATTTTTCTATTTTAATACGAAATCATTTGGGTTATATGACGAAATGAACTGGGAATATGGATAAAGAGATAGCAGGAAACGCCAACTGCTGAAGAAAAATGACTTTGTTTTTGCGGAAAAAATTACATGACTATTTTCTTTGGAATGAGCTTTATCGAGTGACAGAATTTCTGCTCTATTTTAGGATTTGGTCCTCCACTTTCGATTGGACGGAGCAGATTTCCTAAGAATCAATTGCTCGGTTGAGACTGCCTAGCAGAAAGCAATTTTAGAAAAGAGCTTAATTTCGAGTTTACCACTACGACGGATATAGCGCAAGCGCATCATTCAGAAACAATGTGAATGGTAGCACGTGCAATTACACAACAGACAGTCCTGAAATTTCACTGGAAGTCGAGACAAACTTGCAAGTGTGCTCGTAGAAAAAGTAAATCTAAACGTAGGCAGAAAATCTTACCAAATATTTAAAAATACATCAGTGTATGTCTGGTCTCCGCGGTCCTGCGGACACATTTTATTTTAAATTGGGTTAAAATATTTGCATGCAAGGAAGATGACATGATGAGCTCCAGTTAAAAGATTGGCTTCACAGGGAATACATGACTTGATGACTTGCTTTACTTACGAATCCTAAAAACGACGTTGCAGTCTAGACGGAGGTTACGTTTAGGGGAATAAATAAATCATAATTAAGTGAAAATCTCAAATTGTAGGAAAACTGATACTCCTTATGATAGATGTAACGTAATAAAAGAAAAATGGGGTCTCTTTACTGAAAAAAACTATTATTACAGGTTTATGCCGCCCATAACCCCATCCACATGGAAAACTGTTCGCAATGCAGATCGCTTTTCCGCTGTTTGTCCCCAAACCGTTCCCATACCACCAAATGGACCAGAGGCTCTACTAGAAGTGCCGAGAGCACGCTTAGCACAATTACGGCGTTTACTACCACTGCTTAGTAATCAATCAGAAGATTGCTTATATCTAAATATTTATGTACCATACGAAAATCGGAGACGCCGACGTAAGTTCAGTATACGTAATGAAATGTACTAAAAAATAATATGTAACCAGCGCCGGGAAGTCTTCAATTCCGTAGTGCATTGCAGTTTGTCGATTTCATAATTACTGCAAGCATTGTGGAAATGATGATTTTCTAGAGCACAAATCAACAAAAGAAAAAACATTGCTCCAGTTTTTCTTCTTATTTGTATTAGCTTTATGTCATTTATTAAATTTAATTATGCTTGAAGGTTTCACTGTCAGCAACTCTGAAGCGGATGATTCACAAAAACTAGCGACGATTTTATTTATACATGGTGAATCTTACGAATGGAATTCTGGTAATCCATATGATGGCTCTGAGTTAGCAGCTCATGGTAATGTGGTAGTGGTTACCATAAATTTTCGTTTGGGAATTTTCGGTTTTCTCAAAACCGGTGGAAAAGAAAGTGCTCAAGGCAACTTCGGTCTAATGGATTTAGTAGCCGGTCTTCATTGGCTGAAAGAGAATTTGCCTGCTTTTGGCGGAGATCCTCAGAGCATTACTTTATTGGGTCATGGGACAGGTGCTGCTTTGGCTAATATATTGGTTGTGTCTCCGGTTGCGAGTGGTTAGTATATATCCCTTAATTAATAATAATTAATTAACTCCGCCTACAACTACCTTTTTGCATAGATCTCGTTCAACGTTCTGTTTTAGTTAGTGGTTCTGCTTTATCGACCTGGGCAATACAGAAGAATCCTTTGTTTGTTAAACGCCGAGTAGCCGAGCAAACTGGCTGCCATGGTGATATGTTATATGATGACTTAGCGCCTTGTTTACGGACAAAATCGGTAGCGCAACTCTTATCAGTTAAAATTGATTATCCCAGGTAAGTTTATTCGTTTCATTTTGCTTAGTTATTTATTCGAATCTATTTGTCATCTTTAAAGATTTTTAGTTGGTTTCGCACCCTTCGTCGATGGTACGGTCATATCACCCAGTACCGATTCAATTGACAAACTAATACTGCCATTAGGTTCAGCTATAGTTAGGTAAACTTTAAATATTTCTGCTTAAAAAAAATTCCCCAAAACATTAAATATTCGCGATTTTTTCTATATAATTAAGTACATCGGGAATTGAATATGCAAACTTTCCAAAACGTAACCTCATCTTTTGTCTTACATCGGTTGAATCACATTTGGATTTGAATGCTCAAGATTTGGAATTCGGCTTCAATGAAACGCGGCGTGATCGTATATTACGAACCTTTGTACGTAACAATTTTCACTACCACTTAAATGAAATATTTGCTGTACTCAAGGTCAGTTTCTAAAAGCAAGATTTTATTTTTTTTATGGATTTTCACACAGCAAACGATAATTTTTAGAACGAATACACAGATTGGGAAAAAGCAATTCGTAGCCCATTAAGTTCACGTGATGCTACTTTAGCATTTCTTAGTGACGGCCATACGGCATCCTCTTTGATTAAATTGGGTTATATGCATAATTTAAGAGGAGGGAAAAGTTACTTCCTGCACTTTAAACATCGAACTGTAGAAGAAGAATACCCACAAGTGAGTAGCCTTCTCGGTCCTTTCCGATCAGTTTGGCAGTAAGAAAAAATTTTTAATTTTGTGAATTTCAGCGAACTGGTTCGGTACGTGGTGAAGATATACCATTTTGGTTAGGACTCCCAATATCACCGTTATTCCCACATAACTACACTACTCAGGAAAAACAAATTAGCCATCTAATGTTGCGTTATCTAGCGAATTTCGCCAGAACTGGGTACGTTTTGCTTGAAAATGCCAATTTTTTGAATAAAATACTTTTTATTTATATTATATCTTTCATGCTCTACAGCAATCCAAATCAATCCTCTTTGAACGCACCTTTGCCTACATCCCCTTCTGCCTGGATTGCTTTGGCCATTCCACCTACACCCCCGGTTGATTTTGAAAATCATCAAAAAATTAAACGATCATCGACTCAAAAAACTACATCGAATATTAACAATATCATGAATAAAATTCAAAATATAACCTCTTTGAATGTAATAATAAAAAGTAGTATCAGCGGTGATACTGCTGCCGCCGCCGCTAAGGAGGCTCTTAATTTGGCTGTGCTCTATAATCAACGTCGTACAAAACGCACCTATTACCAGCGTCATTCACGTAGCAATAACAACGATTCACAAGATGAAGAGATTAGCAGTGACACAAGATACTCCATCCTAACGAATGCCAAAGGAAATGATTATGAACGTGGGATACCATTTTGGGATGCCTACGACGTCATTAATCAATTGTACATGGAACTAGGTAAATATCAGCATATGCAAAAATTTATATAAGGCATTTATCCGCGTGAGAGGCGAAATGCAAAGAGGTTCGAATCTCAAGTGCGGTAGAGTTTTTAAGAGTTAAGCCGACAGTGCTTCAAGAATTCAGTTTTACAATTTATTTCTCTGACTAACTTAATAATAATAACAATACATAAGTCATTCAACTTGTGTGTCAAAAGTAAAGAAGAATTATCCGTAGCAATTGGTACTACTAAACTAGAATGTTAGTCCTTTAAAACTTTTGATTTTTAAACCTTCGCGCCAAGGCTCAATTAGTCAATTGACATTTCGGGTGCTTCCTTACATTCGATCGCCTGAAATTTCGTACAGACCTTTGACTCCACCGACAATAAAATACAGTATAGTCGATATTTTTGTATATTGAATATGGCAGGTGTCACAATATGCCACATAATCTTGATATTGATACAAATGTCAAGTATAAGGATTTGAAAAGCCAAATGTTTAAGTATCACTCTTAAAACAAGTTCGAGCATTGGACGACGACTGTGTACCCTCTAGCGCCTCCACGCTATCTTTTTATATAGAAGGATTGTCAATACACTAACTGTTTAATTTATTCTTCAGTCGCCTCTGCGATAAAAACCTACAAATGAGCCTTTGTCGCCGTAGAGTGACTTGTAAAAATTATTTTATGTCAAATTTTTATATTATTTTGTCGTGCAATTTTCTTCGTGAAATGACTTTTTATAATAGAGCGTTTTATGGGGGATGACCGAAAAAGTGATCCCGTCCGAACCATTTTCAAACACGTTCGTTCTTGCGCCAAAATACCCCAATGTACAAAATTTTATCCAAATATCCTATAGGTTGAACACAAGGAAACATGCCGACCAGGCCAATTCAAAAGCGATCGGTATAAAACAAGGCGGGTCTATCCCAAGGGTGTTGCATACATCCGCACAAACTTAATATTTACATTATACGAAAAGTGGTGTACGGCATTAAAATTTTGTTTATATATCTCCTTATCGTAAAAATGGAAAAATGCAGCGTTTTTGTTATATCAAAATTCAGTACCCAAATGAATAAAAATATAATGTTTGCGAATAATGACCAATTCAAGCTTTTATAGCTTTTAAGCCATAAAATTTTTTTTTGTTCCTTTACATTTAAATAACTGTCATTGAAAATCTTTACAAATCTTAATATCTGTACAATCTTTAGGTAGTAAAGCGGAAATACAAAGCCATTACAGAGGACATAAACTATCGATGTGGCTAAATTTAATACCCCAACTACATCGTCATACCAATATCAACGATCTGTCCATGAGACATCATCAATTTCAGGACGATATAAATAATTTGAATCTGTACGAAGGTGAGAACACCATAAAAATCAATGTAAAGTGACCAGAATTTAAATCTAAGTGTGTTATAAAAATATAGGTATAGTGAGGCCACAACTGCAAGTAAAGCCGGCAGATGACGACGCTGACACGTTGTTAATATCTACGATGAAGCCAACATTATCGCCTAAAATTGCTAAAGAAATAAATAACACACAAAAAACTCTAACAGGCTCAACAGGTAGAGCAGAACGTCATACACAAAAAAATTTCTAAAAGCAATGAATGCCTTCGTTTTCTCCTTCTTCTTCTTCCTCTTTTAGAATGTGGTATAGATGGAGCTTTGTTTGTAGCCGAATTGACTACCCAATTACCGAATTACAATCGTTCATCAGTAGTAGAAACGAAAGAGAAAGATTTAGCTACTGCCTCCACTGGACTCATTGGTAATTTGGAAGTGTTACGACGTTTAAGCAGTAAACAATTTCAAAGCTATACTACCGCGTTAATAGCAACAGTTGCTGTTGGTTGTTTTCTACTAGTTCTCAATATTTTAATATTTGCCGGCATTTATCATCAACGTGAAAAGCGAGCCAGAGATGCTAAAACTAAAGAAGAACTCCAAGATAAGGACACGAGCAAAAATTCAAGTATGTTGAAATTAAACACTATCGGCAGTGAGAGTAGTTCCTTTAACGGTAGTGTTGCTGGTTTAAGCGGTAAAACTTCTATTGTCTTCGGTGAATATAGTTGTTACGATGAGAAATCTTTACAAAATAAGGATGAAAAGCTCATGGTAGAACTATCGCCACCTCAAATAGTGGATGCTAATGCGTCATCTTGGGGTGCATGTTCCTCCAGCACTTTGGATTTGTTAAAAACTAAACATTACTCGTCTATAGATACGGTCAATGGAGGAGGTTTCAGCCTCACAAATTTAGGTTCGATGAGCGGCAGCTTGCAAAACGATCAAAGTCTATTTGGTATTAATAGTGGCATGGAAATGGTCACTTATAAAACATTGCCCCCTTTGGGTGGCTTATTACTAGATAACGCTGCAACGTCAACATCAGCCGCTTTAAAAAGCAAGCAAAGTTTACATGTAGACTCGACCGGCCAAATAAATCAATACGAGTTTGCTTCAGTGCAATCCTCAGATCAAATGTCTTTTAGAGATATAGAGAATGCAGTTAAAGCATCAACTTCCGGAACCGATGTAACACAAGACGACGACATTCCTGAACCCCCACCACCACCAAAATCCTTTCAAAATTCTACAGGTTCAACGGTTAGCTCGATAGCCGGTGGCATACTAAGACAGGCTGGCACTGCATCATCTAACGTCTCGGCGGGCGGTAATAAAAAACGTGTACATATTCAAGAAATTTCAGTTTAACAAAAGTGGGTTCGTTTTTCTTATAATTAATCTTATTAAAAAAAAAACTCGCATTTTCTCACATTTCTTTTTCTGGCCATAAGGTATAAAAAAAATAAATAAATACAAAAAAAAAATTAAATTTACAAAATATATTTTTATGAAAACTTAAGATTATGCTGAGTGTATATGTGTGTGTACGTGTTAAAATTTGATATAAATATATATGTGTACGTCAATATCATACATTTATTTTTTCTCTTAAATCATTTAACTAAATTACATCATTTTGTTTTTCCTTTAACATTTCATATCGTATAAATTTTAGAAGTTGTCTTTCAGTCAAGCCACGTCCATCTAATTTAAATTTCACCACATTTAGAAAAAAAAAATATTCATAGCGTTTTCTTCGAATGGTGACTATTGATTGAAAGCAATTAAGATTTGTTTCTTAGAAAAAACGTAAACATTTTCAACTATAACGTACCCATGCAGAAGACAAGTCCGCGTATAGATAGGCGGGCGAAACAAATGCAAGTCATAGGGCTTCTAATCCGTACATCTAATCGGAATGGCGACTTTTTATACGCACATTACGTATATTATTCATAAAAAGCGAGAGGACAGTGCTTTGATCAGTGCTTCAATTAGAAGACCCTATAAAATATATTTTTTGCTAAAAACCTTGCGATTCTGAATCAATTTATCAGTGTCTAGTCACACGTCAGTCTGTTTGTGGTCACAAGGTTCCAAGAAGTTTGAAAATAGCTTTAATCGTCGACCCCAGAGCTACGGCTATGAAATGCAAAAAGCTTTAATTTACACGTTATAACTAATAGAGATTCGAAAGTTGGTAGAAATATATTGGAGGCTATCATGTATAAAACGAATGCAAAGAAAATTCCGATAAACTGTTGTTGAGATACGGATTAAAAGAATACTTTGCCACTTTTGTACGGGGGCTTCAGAAGTTGGATATTAATGGTTTTCTTCCGAAAATGTATAGTGCTACATTGTTTTTTTTCTAATCCTTAAATATGCTTCTTTTATTTTAATTGTATACCGATCAGTGAGACATTTGCATCTTGAATTCTTAGAAGTTTGAAAGAATCAATCCAAATGTCAGGTCGCGTAAACGTAGGTGATTAATCGGAGGGTATTGCATTTTTCAGCTTTTTCCAAGTTTTTATTACGTATTATCTGTCATGCGGGCAAAAGCTAAACATTTGCTTCAATGATCATGGGATGAGAAACATATTTGGTCAATTCGTTTCAAAATCCCAAGTTTATCAAGCCCATGTAAATGCAAATGCCTTCACAAAAAAAACAGCCTTTGTTTGTCGATATGTATAAATTTTGAAATATAAATCTTTCCGTCTCATTTGACTAGTGCAACCAAACTGATTACATAAATCGATACACAATCGTCTAAAAGATATTTTGGTTATAAAGGCTTCAGTGCATAAGATTTCTAAGGATATTCTGTAAAAGACACAATGCTTGTGAACATATTTTTGTGGCTTACGTCGCTCTCATACTCAACTTGTTTTGTTATATAAGTTATTCATATGTGCGCTAAAAGTCATCTTTTTTTTTTACATAGAGATTTCATACACGCTCTAAAAGTCAACTCTTTCTGTTATAACCAAGCCGTACAAATAATTATCTCATAAACAAATTAAAAAAGTTCCCCTTAAATCGCTTTAAATAAGTTCCATAGTTTTATAAAAACTCTTTGTTAACATACGTAAATACTTTGTTGCTAGACATAAATACAATTATTAAATGTGTAAATTATATATGTAACAAAAATAAAACGAACATAAATAAATAATTTAAAAGAAATTTATTCACCAAAATGGCTAAATGAATTATGCATAAAACATAAATGTTAAAATAATATAGAAAATTATATAATCAAATATATAAAAATAAAAACTAATATTTTTTAAAATTACAAACAAAATTTATTTTTATAATACCAGGGACATGAAACACCATCGAACGGCTTGCTCCAGTCCCGTTCATATGTCGACTTTTCAAAATAGGATCACATTCACTACCGCTTTTCATTCGGCTAACACCCGTCAGCTAACTACCACTACCGCCAAAATATCTCGAATATTGCCGCCAAGGTTATTTATTTATTTATTTACTTCTTCCACTTATACAAAAAACTCAACTAAAACAAATTGGCAGTCGAGTTCAATTGAGCCTTAAAGTAAATCTTAAATTAATTAATATTAAAACTTAGTATAAGTGCAATAAAACAAATAAGAAGGAGAAAAAAAGCATGTACACAACTAGCATAGAGCCACACCCACAACCGGTGCAGGACCAAATTGCAAGTGAACCCCTAACCCATCGCAAACATGCATAAGCTTGGCAACCGATAATAGTTAACAACAATTAATTTTCGACTCATAATAACTTTTTAAGGTTAAAAGTTAGTTCAAGTATGACATAGATAAATCGCGCGTTTTAAGCAATTTTGCTTTAATGGCCTTTAAAACGTCCTTTAATGAGAATAAGTGATAGACGTCATTTAGGTTCTTGCAAACAACTATGAGTTGGTTATACAGTTCGTCATTATTTTTTTATTTTGCATTGACTAAGCTTAATCCAAATAAAGTGCCTAGAGAATCGGTTAGGGACATTAAAGCCTATCTCACGAAGTAATAAGGGCGAGTCAATTGCACCATTTATTAATTTGATTAAGAAGGAAACCCCAAGAACAAATCTAAGTTTCTCCAGTGACGGTAAGGATAACAAAAGCAACCTATTTTCATAGGGTGGAAGAGGGGCAATGGGGTCCCTACCCAAATTCCTAAGGGCAAGCAGCAAGAATTGCTTTTAAACGGATTCAATTGAATCTACGTGGCACCTATATAAAGGAGACCACGCAACAGAGGCATACTCAAGTATAGGTCTAACCAAACACATGTAAAACCTCTTCGTAATATAAGCAAGCTCTTTGGACCACCTCTTTATAAAACCAAGCGCGGACCTAGCTTTGCTTAACGAGAGCTCGATATGCAGATTGAAACATAACCTATAATCAAATAGAACGCCTAAATCTATGAACGAATCGAAGTTTTCCAACTTGTGCGAATCAATGAAATACTGAGTAATGAACGGCTTCCTTCTTGAGAAAGAAAGCTTATTACATTTATTTAAATTTAGTTTCAGAAGATTCAAATTATACAAATCACTTT